TGCCTCCAGGGTAGACAGGAAGTATCTAATATTTAACATGGGCCGTAAGAATTCTGAGAAATTAAGAGTATACATGGAAAGTCCTCTTCACATGATGGCTTTAAAACCTCATAGGGGAGCTGGTGAGAACTCCTGACTATGGAATTGTAAATTATTATTATTATTATTTCATTTAGAGATGGAATCTTGCTCTGTCGCCCAGGCTGGAGTGTAATGGTGCGATCTCAGCCCACTGTAATCTCCACCTCCTGGGTTCAAGTAATTCTCCTTCCTCAGCCTCCCAAGTAGCTGGGATTACAGGCATGCAGCACCACGCCTGACTGCTTTTTTGTATTTTTAGTAGAGACAGACTTTCACCGTGTTGGCCAGGCTGGTCTTGAACTCCTGACTTCAAGTGATCTGCCCACCTCAGCCTCCTAAAGTACTGAGATTACAGGTGTGGGCCACCATGCCTGGATAATTTCTTTATTTTTAGTGGAGATGGGGTTTTGCCATGTTGGCCAGGCTGGTCTTCAACTCCTGGCCTCATGGGATCCACCCGCCTCAGCTTCCCAAGGTGCTGGAATTAGAGGTGTGAGCCACCACACCAGCCTAGAATCAGAAATTATATCTCCAGAGAAGAAAAAAGTAAATTAAAATGCAATTAAGTATCTTCTCTACCTGTCTTGATTATAAGGAACAGTGAAATGAAAGTTTTCTACAAAGAGAAAAACTCCTTGGACATCTATACCTGTATAGCTATATCTATATACATGTATATATATGTACAGTGATGTAAACCAGGCCCCCCCTTTTTTTGAGACAGAATCTTGCTCTGTTGGCTAGGCTGGAGTGTAGTAGCGTGATCTTGGCTCACTGCAACCTCTTTCTCCCGGGTTCAAGCAATTCTCCTGCCTCAGCCTCCCGAGTAGCTGGGATTACAGGCACCTGCCACCATGCCTGACTAATTTTTGTATTTTTAGTAGAGATGAGGTTTCACCATGTTGGCCAGGCTGGTCTCAATCTCCTGACCTCATGATATGCCTGCCTCGGCATTCTAAAGTGCCAGGATTACAGGTGTAAGCCACCACGTCCAACCAAACCAGACCTTCTTATGTGACTAATTAGGCTGATGCTAAGGTCTTCAGCAAGATTACATTTTACCATGCTCTGTCTTTTCTATAAATTACAAATTTTTCCTGTATTTTTCTTACTTTCCTTTTTTTTTTTTTTTTTTTTGAGATAGGTTCTCACTCTGTCTCCCAGGCTGGAGTGCATGGCATGATGACAGTCCTCACTGCAGCCTCCGCCTTCTGGACCTAAATGATCCTCGAACCTCAGCCTCCCAAGTAGCTGGGAGTACAGGCGTGTGCCAACACGGCCAGCTAATTTTTTAACTTTTTGTACAGACAGGGTCTCCCTATGTTGCTCAGACTGGTCTTGAACTCCTGGGCTCAAGTGGTTCTCCTGCCTTGGTCTCCCAAAGTGCTGGGATTACAGGCATGAGCCACCGTGCCCAGAGGTTTACTGACTTTTAATGTAAATAAGTAAGGTTAACTTCTACAGCTTGTAAACCATGTTCCAGAAAATTACATATTATGGTTTCAGAAAATAAATATGTGCAAAACATATTTATCGTGAGAAAGAACATTAGCTTGAGAAATGTGCCTTCTATTATTCATTTAAGCTATGAATGACCTCTCTAGTGTTAGCTTTTTTTTTTGAGACAGAGTTTCGCTCTTGTTACCCAGACTGGAGTGCAATGGTGCGATCTCAGCTCACCGCAACCTCCGCCTTCTGGGTTCAGGCAATTCTCCTGCCTCAGCCTCCCGAGTAGCTGGGATTACAGGTGTGCGCCACCATGCCCACCTAATTTTTTGTATTTTAGTAGAGACAGGGTTTCACCGTGTTGACCAGGATGGTCTTGATCTCTTGACCTTGTGATCCACCCACCTCGGCCTCCCAAAGTGCTGGGATTACAGGCGTGAGCCACCCTTATTTTGAAGACAGTTGCAAGAGTGTGTAATAGTTAAGACTTTTTTTGTTTGTTTTTCTTTCTTTTTTTAATTTTCTTCTTATAGTTAAGGCATTTTAAAAAGGAGTAATATAAGGTAATATTTTACTTCTTAATATTAATCCATTTTATTTCATCTCATCAACTATGGGTACTGGATTACCTTTCTTATTGTCAGTATTTGTTATGCCTTTACTATGGGCAGACAGCTTCACATACATGTAATTCTCTTACTGGAGGGTTGATATAGAGTTCAGTACATGTTAGGAGCATAGACTCCAGAGCAAGCCATTCTGCCTGGGTTTCACTCCCAACTCCACACTTACTAACTATATGATCTTAGAGAAGTTAGTGACATATTTGTGTGTATGTTTCTTTACCTATAAAATTGGTGTGATAATCGTACTTACCTCATAGCAACTAGCAGATTAACTGAGTTACTATATATGTATACTATTACATATATAAGGCTCTTGGCAAGGTCAGGCACAGTGGCTTAGTCACATAATCCCAGTACTTTGGGAGGCCAAGTCAGGCAGATCACTTGAGGTCAGGAGTTCAAGACCAGCCTGGCCAACATGGCCAAACCCCGTCTACACTAAAAACACAAAAATTATCCAGGCATTGTGGTCCCAGCTACCCGGGAGGCTGAGGCAGGAGAACTGCTTGAGCCCTCAAGGCAGAGGTTACAGTGAGCTGAGATCGTGCCACTGCACTCCAGCCTGGGCGACAGAGCAAGACTGTCTCAAAAAAGGAAAAAATAAAGAAAAAAAATAGGACTTGGCAAAGTATAACTGTTACATAGGATTGGCTGTTATTATAAAATTTTCCTGCAAATCCTGCAAGCTAGACATTATTATCCCCATTTTACAGATGAGGAAACTGAAACTTAGAGAAGCGACTTGTCCCCCATTATAAAATTAAATCGACTCCCAGGACTAATAACTGATCCAGATCTCATAATTTGTGTGCACATTTTCCTGGGGCCTTGTATCCAGGGGACTCTTCTATAGAGGGTGCTGTGTCCATCTTCTACAAATTATGCATCTACCAGGAACAATGCATGTGTGCTCTGGAATGCTGATAAAATTATACTTTCCTAGTCATTCTCACCTGTCAACTTCTATTCACTGTCCTAGCCTTTTCCTAGGAGGTCAGATGCCTGTAAATAATTTATTCTCCAACAAAAACTAATTGAGGCTTTGCAAAAACCCTTCCTAAACTAGGTATTCCATGGGGGGTAAATTCCCTAACTGATGATAACTCTTTTTTTTTTTTTTTTTTTTTTGAGACGGAGTTTCGCTCTCGTTACCCAGGCTGGAGTGCAATGGCACGATCTCGGCTCACCGCAACCTCCGCCTCCTGGGTTCAGGCAATTCTCCTGCCTCAGCCTCCTGAGTAGCTGGGATTACAGGCATGTGCCACCATGCCCAGCTAATTTTTTGTATTTTTTTAGTAGAGACGGGGTTTCACCATGTTGACCAGAATGGTCTCGATCTCTTGACCTCATGATCCACCCGCCTCAGCCTCCCAAAGTGCTGGGATTACAGGCTTCAGCCACCGCGCCTGGCCAATGATCACTCTTTTACTGCACATTCTTTTCACTGGATCATGTGCTCAATAAATACCTCTCCTTTGTGTCATGCAAGTGCTGGACACTGAGGACACAGAAATAGATAACAGCCAGGCCCGTGCGTGGTGGCTCATGCGTGTAATCCCAGCACTTTGGGAGGCCAAGTCTGAGTCCAGCAGATCACCTGAGGTTGAGATTTGAGACCAACCTGACCAACATGGAGAAACCCTCCCTCTACTAAAAATACAAAAATTTGCCAGACATGGTGGTGCGCAGCTGTAATCCCAACTACTTGGGAGGCTGAGCGGGGAGAATCACCTGAACTGGGAAGGCAGAGGTTGCAGTGAGCCGAGATTGCACCATTGCACAGCAACAAGAGTGATACTTTGTCCAAAACAAACAAACAAAAAAGCCAGGCCCTGCCCTCAAGGTACTCAAGTCTAATAAGAAGGGAAAGAAGACAACAGAAAAAGAACATGGTAAGTACTCTTATACAAAGAAGCATGGTGGTGTGTGGTGGCTCATGCCTGTAGTTTCAGTTACTCAGGAGGCCAAAGTAGGTGGATAGACTGAGCCCAGGAGTTTGAGGCTGCAGTGAACTATGGCGGTACCTGTAAATTAGCCACTGCACTCTAGCCTGGGCAACATAGTGAAACCCTGTCTAAAAAAGAAAAAAGGAAGCAGCAGCACTTGCTAAAGCACAGAGGCATCCAGCCTAGTGGTGGGGGTGCTCAGTGGTCAGAGCAAGCTTCCTAAAAGAGATACTACTTGACCTAGGTTTTGGAGAACAAGTAATCAACTTAATTAGGGAGAGGGAAGACCATTCTGGGCATAGGAAACCAAGGCACTGGAACATGAAACCAGATGATGTATATAGGGTCAACAAATAATTTGGGATGAGGTACAAAGAGTGTGTATGGGAGGGAAGAGACCAAGCTGGAAAAGGCAGGCTGGGGCAGATAACAGCATGGTTTGTGGGTAAAGGTTAGGAGCGTATATTTCATCTTTTTTGTTTTTTGAGATGGAGTCTTAATCTGTCACTCAGGCTGGAGTGCAATGCCATGGTCTCGGCTCACTGCAACCTCCGCCTCCCAGGTTCAAGCAATTCTCCCACCTCAGCCTCCTGAGTAGCTGGGACTACAGGCATGTGCTACCACACCTGGCTACTTTTTGTATTTTTAGCAGAGACGGGGTTTCACTATGTTGGCCAGGCTGGTCTCAAACTCCTGACCTCATGATCTGCCCGCACAGCCTCCCAAAGTGCTGGGAGTACAGGTGTGAGCCACCATGCCCGGCCATATACTTCATCTTTAATGCCATGTGATATTTAGTTACAGTTCTCTTCTGGCACAACTGCTTTTTTCTGACAGTAAGTATTTGGTTACATTTAGAAGTCCAGATTAATTTATTCACTCATTAACATGCGCTAAGCACCTCATTGTGTCAGTTTTTATGTGCAGGCAGGAGGCCTCAGGAATAGACTTTTGGGTCACCACTTGAAATCTTGTGAGCTTTTTAAGAAGGCAGTAAATCTCACCCCAGACTTGAGATGATTTATCCTGAAATCTTATCCCTTCCTTGTCCTTGATGTTGCAATCCTTCTTGGTCATTTGGATTTCCAGGAGCATGCTGCAGTGATCTGGGTCCACATACACATTATGGGAATGCCTACAATCACAAGATGAACCAGTCAGTTTAGGTGGTGAACACGTATGTGCCCATTGTGCTCTGGTACATGAACCTCATGAATGAGATGGAGAAGGGAGAGAATATCAGGTCCCTACTCTTTTGGATTTCATAGGTTGTTTTTTTTTTTGAGATGGAGTCTCACTCTGTCGCCCAGGCTGGAGTGCAATGATGTGATCTCTACTCACTGCAACCTCTGCCTCCCAGGTTCAAGCGATTCTCCTGCCTCAGCCTCCCAAGTAGCTGGGATTACAGGCGCGTGCCACTGTGCCCAGCTAATTTTTGTATTTTTAGTAGAAATGGGGTTTCACCATCTTGGCCAGGCTGGTCTCAAACTCCTGACCTTGTGATCAACCCACCTCGGCCTCCCAAAGTGCTGGGATTACAGGCGTGAGCCACCATGCCCGGCGGGATTTCATAGTCTTAAAAGCAGAAAGTTAGACCTGGAAGCATTGTTTAAATTATTAACCACATGGGATAAACTGAGCACTTATAAAGTGCTTTAATCCATGTTGGGACCTGGAAGGCAAATAAAGAAATCGGACTTGGTTCCTATCCTTTTTTTTTTTGAGACGGAGTCTTGCTCTGTCACCCAGGCTGGAGTGCAATGGCGCGGTCTTGGCTCACTGTAACCTCCGCCTCCCAGGTTCTAGCGATTCTCCTGCCTCAGCCTCCTGAGTAGCTGGAATAACAGGCACCCGCCACCATGCCTGGCTAATTTATGTATTTTTAGTAGAGATGGGGTTTCGCCGTGTTGGCCAGGTTGGTTTCAAACTCCTGACTTTGTGATCCTCCTGCCTTGGCCTCCTAAAGTGCTGAGATTATAGGCATGAGCCACTGTCCCTGGCCTGGCTCCTCTTTTTTTTTTTTTTGAGACAGAGTTTTGATCTTGTTACCCAGGCTGGAGTGCAATGGTGTGATCTCGGCTCACTGCAGCCTCCGCCTCCTGAGTTCAAGCAATTCTCCTACCTCAGCCTCCTGAGTAGCTGGGACTACAGGCGTGCACCACCATGCCCAGCTAATTTTTGTATTTTTAGTAGAGATGGGGTTTCACCATGTTGACCAGGATGGTCTTGATCTCTTTACCTCATGATCCACCCACCTTGGCCTCCCAAAGTGCTGGGATTATAGGTGTGAGCCACTGCGCCCAGCCCGGCCTGGTTCCTCTTTAAGGTGCTCACTGTCTGGTTAAACAAGTGACGACCACAATGCTTCAGGAAGTGGAGGAGCCCTCAGTTGGCTAACCACAGCCCACTGTCAACCAGTAAGGATTAGGAAGGCATCCTAGACAAGGACTGGTGGTTGGGGGGCATAGTTGGAACTGACACTGGAGGGAGGGGGAAAGAGCAGCCCACACAGACAGAACAGCCTGAGGAGTTCAGAGAAGAAAAGGAGTGGGTCAGAGGGACTGGTTTGTCTAGTATAGGTGAAGTAGCAAATGGAGTGGTCAACAGGGGCCAGATGGGAGGCCTGGAATGCTGAGCTAAGGATGTCTGCATGGTAGAACCTTTGGTTTCCAAATGGGGTGACACAGTTAGGTCTTTTAGAAAAACAAGTACCTTTCGTTCCTGGGGTCATTGTGTAAAACAAGGGAGTTGAAGATTATTTTCAAAATCATTCCAGTGCATGTATCCTGTGATTTACAGCATTGCTTCTTAAAGCTTATTGCGTATCTGTGTCACCCGGGGATCTCAGTAAAATGCATATTCTGGCTAGGCAATGTGGCTCACACCTGTAGTCCCAGCTACTTGGGAAACTGAGATAGGAGGATTGCTTGAGCCCAGCCTGGGCAATATAATAAGACTCCAATCTCTAAAAATAATAATAATTTTAGCCTGGGCACAGTGGCTCACGCCTATAATCCCAGCGCTTTGGGAGGCCAACGCAGGTGGATCACCTGAGGTCAGGAGTTCAAGACCACCCTGGCCAACATAGCAAAACCCCGTCTCTACTGAAAATACAAAAATTAGCTGGGCATGGTGGTGCATGCCTGTAATCCCAGCTACTCAGGAAGCTGAGGCAAGAGAATCACCTGAACCTGGGAGGTGGAGATTGCAATGAGCTGAGATAGTGCCATTGCACTCCAACCTGGGAGACAAGAGGGAAACTCCGTCTCAAAATAATAATAATTTAAAAAATGCATATTTTTGTTCAGTAGGTGTGATGGGGGCCTCAAGGTTCTCCATGTCTACTAGGATCTCAAATGATATGGATGCTGCCAGTCCTCAAGCCACACTTTGAGTAGCATGGATTTAATTCTTGAGTACTCAAAATATGGTGTGAGGACCAGCCTTTGTAAGTCATATAAAGTTCTATAAATTATCTCATTAGATATAGTGCCCTACCTAATTTTTAGTGTTTTAAGATTTGCAAAGAGATATACCAACCTTATTTCCTTTACTGCTTTCAGCAGTTCTTCCTTAGAGGTATTTTTTTTTTTTTTTTTTGAGACATGGTCTCACTCTATCATCACCCAGGCTGGTGGAGTGCAGTGGCACAGTCATGGCTCACTGAAGTCTCAAATTTCCGGCTTAATCAGTCCTTCTGCCTCAGCCTCCCAAGTAGTTGAGACTACAAGCACATGCCACCACACCTGGCTAATGTTTTTATTTTTTACAGAGACAGGGTCTCTTTATGTTACCCAGGCTGGTCTTAAACTCCTAGGCTCAAGGGATTCTCTCACCTCATCCTTCCAAAGTGCTGGGATTATAGGCATGAGCCACTGCACCTGGCCAAGGCAACACTTTCATAGTTGTGTAAAACACCCTTTAAACGTATGTATTAAGGTTAGTTTGTCTTTTCCCAGCATCAACATGGGGTAGGGATTAGGAGTCGCATTTTACAGATGAGAAGACTGAAGATCTAAAAAGAGAATAGACTTACTCAAAGCCAAACAAACACTATAGAAGTAGTAGAACAGTAATTAGTATTGAAACCTCCTATTCCAATGCTTATTTCCAGCAAATTTCTATGCTGCTTGAGGTGTTCATTCATTCATTCAACATGGATTTATTACACCCCAACTATATTTTGGATTTGTCATATCATGTGAATATGGAGAAAGTTACCTTTTTTTTTTTTTTTTTGAGACAGTCTCACTCTGTCGCCCAGGCTGGAGTGCAGTGGTGCAATCTTAGCTCACTGCAACCTCCCCCTCCCAGGTTCAAGTGATTCTCCTACCTCTGCCTCCTGAGTAGCTGGGGTTACAGGTACACACCACGATACCTGGCTAATTTTTTATTTTAATTATTTTTATTTTATTTATATTTATTTATTTTTCAGACAGAGTCTCATTCTGTTGCCCAGGCTGGAGTGCAGTGGTGTGATCTTGCTTCACCACAACCTCTGCCTCACCACAACCTTTGCTCAGGCTGGAGTGCATGTTGCAGGCTGGTCTCAAACTCCTGAACTCAGGTGATCCACTCACCTTGGCCTCTCAAAGTACGGGGATTACAGGTGTGAAACACTGCTCCCAGGTTTTTTTTTTTTTTTTTTTTGAGATGGAGTTTCGCTCTTATTGCCCAGGCTGGAGTACAATGGCATGATCTCAGCTCACTGCAACCTCTTCCTCCCAGGTTCAAGTGATTCTCCTGCCTTAGCCTCTCGAGTAGTGGAGATTACAGGTGCCTGCCACCATGCCCAGCTAATTTTTGTATTTTTAGTAAAGACGGGGTTTCACCATGTTGGCCAGACTGGTTTCGAACTCCTGATTCACCCACCTCAGCCTCCCAAAGTGCCAGGATTACAGGTGTGAGCAACCATGCCGGCCCTCTCCCCTTTTTCTGTTTTTAGACAGACTCTCACTCTGTCACCCAGGCTGGAGTGCAGTGACACAATCTTGGCTCACCACAACCTCCATTTCCTGGGTTCAAGCGATTCTCCTGTCTCAGCCTCCTGAGTAGCTGGGACTACAGTTGCCTGCCAACATGCCCAGCTAGTTTTTGTATTTTTAGTAGATATGGGGTTTCTCCATGTTGTCCAGGATGGTCTGGAACTCCTGACCTCAGGTGGTCTTCCTGCCTTGGCCTCCCAAAGTGCTGCTGGGATTACAGGCATGAGCCACTGCACCTGGCCAGAGAAAGTTACCTTTAAACAATTGGAAAGTATGAAATATGCAACCATAGGAAAGAAGGCTTATTGGTGTGCGGCTTACCATTGAGTTGTCAGCTCTAAAGATGGATTACAGAGGAAACTCATTCAGACTAGAGAGAGATTAATTGACTTTTGTGTATACACTCATCAAATATTTGTCAAGCCCTGCACTTCACCATACACTATGTTAGATTCTGATGGCAAAAGCATGAATCAGTTCTCAGAGAGTTCACTGCTTAGCCTAATATGGCATTTCCCCATTATTAATGATAAATATGTCCATCAAAACTGATGGATGGGCTGGGTGTGGTGGCTCAGGCCTGTAACCCCAGCACTTTGGGAGGCTGAGGAAGGAGGATCCCTTGATCCCAGAAGTTCAAGACCAGCCTGGACAACATAGGGAAACCCTATTTCTAGACAAAAGATAGAAAAATTAGCTGTGCACTGCACCTGTAGTCCCAGCTACTTTAGGAGGCTGAGATGGGAGGATCATTTGAGCCACAGAGGTTGAGGCTTCAGTGAGCCATGATTCCATCACTGCACTCCAGCCTGGGTGACATAGTGAGACCCTGTATGAAAAATGATAATGATAATAATAATAATAACTGTCATTTGCTGAATGTATAATATGCCAAAGTTATGCTAAACTTCACGCATCAGTATCATAATTATCTTAATTCTCGAGAATCTTATTAGAATTTACACTACAAGAGGGCAGGTGTTTTTGTTTGTTTTGATAACTGATGCATCCCTAGAAGAGTGCTTGTTACATAATAGGCATTCAAAAAATGTTGTTAAATAAATGAAAAATAACACTGTTAGATGGGGTGCAGTGGCTTACACCTGTAATCTCAGCACTTTGGGAGGCCCAGGTGGATGGATCACTTGAGGTCAGGAATTTGAGATCAGCCTGGCCAACATGGTGAAACCCTGTCTCTACCAAAAAATACAAAAATTAGCCAGGCATGGTGGTGCACATCTGTAGTCTCAGCTACTAGGGAGGTTGAGGTGGGAGAATCACTTGAACCCGGGAGGCAGAGGCTATGGTGAGCTGAGATAATGTCACTGCACTCCAGCCTGGGCATCTGAGTGAGACCCTGTCTGTTTTTTTTTTGGAGATGATGTTTTGTGCTGTCACCCAGGCTGGAGTGCAGTGGCTCCATCTTGGCTCATTGCTACCTCCGCCTCCTGGGTTCAAGCAATTCTCCTGCCTCAGCCTCCCAAGTAGCTGGGACTACACGCACCTGCCACCATGCTCAGCTAATTTTTTTGTATTTTTAGTAAAGATGGGCTTTCACTGTGTTAGCCAGGCTGGTGTCGATCTCCTGACCTTGTGATCTGCCTGCCTCAGCCTCCCAAAGTGTTGGGATTACAGGCGTGAACCACTGTGTCCAGCGGAGACCCTCTCTCAAAACAAAACAAAACAGAAAACAACCCTGTTAGGTATATACAACCATTATCTCCAGTTCACAGATGAGTAAACTAAGTAGCAGGGAGGTAAAATGCTGTTGCTTAAGACCTCCCAAATAGTAAAAGGCAGGACTAAGAGGCTTTTAGAAGAACCCAGAACTCTGACTCCAAACCCAATGGTTTTACCCTTTATAGACCAGTGATTCTCAGCATCCATCAGACTCACCTGGAGAGTTTATTAAAACACAGATTGCTGAACCCCGCAACCAGAGTTTCCAATTCAGTAGATCTGGGGTGGGGCTGGAGAATATCCATTTCTAACAACTTCCAGTGATGCTGATGCTGCTGGCCCAGGGACCATATTTTGAAAGCCACTGTTCTGTAAGGACTAGCCTCCCAATTTCTTGTTTATTTCTATAAGGTGAACAGAATTAGATTAATATGCCATAGTAGATGAGGAATATGAGGCCAGAAAGGTAACACTTGTCCAAGGTTCTACAGCAACTGTGGGATTTCCTGTTTAGTGTGATCCCAAAGTTCTTATCATTCTTGAAAAATAACCGTCTCAGATCATGACATATGGGCAGGGGATACAGAAGAAAGAGGCAGAGAGGAGAGTATTTGTCAGGAGGAAGGGAGGATAACCTTTGGAAATGTTGCCGCCCAACTTGCAGCCATGAGGGAAGAGTGTGGCTTTGTCACTAACTTGCTGTATACCCTGGGTCAACCCCCTTTCTCCTCTGGACCTTGGTCCTTTTCCCTGTAAAATAGGAGCCTGTCCAGCTTAAAGAGCAGCCCAGGAACCTTAGAGACAGGCAGGATTTTAGTTTCCTTTTAAATGGTTGCACTGATTCCGGTTTCCGAAAGCTTTGCGCTTGCCCTAGGCCAGACAGGTCACGTGGGGAGTACGTGATGTGTAATGGCCGCTGTTTAAACGAGAGCAAGTGCAGGGCTGGCATCTGTCACAGCCTTTCCATGTCTTGGGGGGATTGGGAGTGATGAGGTGACGAAGGGCTGCAGGCTCTGCGGGCACGGGCTTGGGAAGGTTCACTACCACAGCAGGAAAGGCAGGGGTTCTCCACGTCTAACTCACCCAATGCTGAGAGTCCCAAGGGGATCTGCAAAGGCTAAAGAGCTGAGCAGCCCCGGGGAAAGCCACCCGAAGCCACCCGAAGCCTCCCTCAGCTGCACCAGCCACTGAGAAATACCGGCTTCATTTAGACACGAGCACCAATCCCAGGCCTCCAAAGTGACCTCAGAGCAAATGTGATTGGTCTGGTCTCTCTCACGAAGCGGGTCCTCTTACAACGTGTAACCCTTTGGGGGAGATTTAGCGGGCTGTGTGACCTGGTGGAAATCACTTTACTTCTCTGAACCTCCTTTATAAAAAGGGGATATTAAGACTTATCCTGAGGCTGGGCGCGGTGGTTCACGCCTGTAATCCCAGAACTTTGGGAGGCGGAGGGGGGCAGATCGTTTGAGCCTAGGAATTGAAGACCAGCTTGGGCAACATAGTGAGACATTGTTTCTACAAAAAATAGCCGCTGATGTGGTGGCGCACACTTGTAATCCCAGCTACTTGAAAGGCTGAGGCAAGGGGATCCCTTGAGCCCGGGAGGTCAAGGCTACAGTGAGCCGTGATGGAGCCACTGCACTCCAGCCTGGGTGACAGACAGAGACTCTGTCTAAAAGGAAAAAAAGAAAAAAAAGAAAGAAAGACATGTCTAAAATACTAATTCCACAGTTAGTGGTCAATAAATATTTGTTAAATCTAAGTCTGGAACTAGGAGGTTAGCTCTATAATGCTCTTGAATTCTTCCCTTCAGGATCTGTGATGGCTGTTGTGAACTCTAGGATTACAAAAGGCCTGGCTTTTCCCAGTCCTCTTGCTATGTGGGGTAAATCTCAACTTCTCTATCAGTTTCTCTCCAACAGTTTGAACAATGTCTGCAAGCTGAATCATGCTCAAGTAAACATGAACATTCATGAAAATAGAGAGATGCTGGGAGCGGTGGCTCACACCTACAATCCCAGCACTTCGGGAGGCCAGGGCAGGAGAGTCCCTTGAGCCCAGGGGTTCAAAACCAGCCTGGGTAACTTAAGAGACCTGGCTCTTCAAGAAATAATTTTTTTAAAAAAATTAGCCAGGCATGGTGGCAACACCTGTGGTCCCAGCTACTTAGGAGGCTGAGGTGGGAGGATTGCTTAAGCCCAGGAGTTCAAGGTTGAAGTGAGCTATGATCTCACCAATGCACTCCAACCTGGGCATCAGATCAAGACCCTGTCTTAAAAAAAATAGAGGGAAAATAAACCTACAGAGATAAGAAGGGGATTAAAAAACAAAAACAAGGCTGGGTATGGTGGCTCATGTTTGTAATCCCAGCACTTTGGGAGGCCAAGACCGGTGGATCACCAGATCAGGAGATTGAGACCATCCTGGCCAACATGGTGAAACCCCGTCTCTACTAAAAAAAAAAAATTAGCCAGGCGTGGTCATGGGTGACTGTAATCCCAGCTACTTGGGAGGCTGAGGCAGGAGAATTGCTTGAACCTGGGAGAGAGAGGTTTCAGTGAGCTGAGATCATGCCATTGCACTCCATTCTGGGCGACTGAGCAAGACTCTGTCTCAAAACAAAAACAAACAAACAAAACAAAAACAAAAAAGAAGAAGCTTGCTGTCCTTTTGATGACCATAAATTTCCTTTTAAAATATGTGACCTCTGGCCGGGTGCATTGGCTCACGCCTGTAATCCCAGCACTTTGGGAGGCTGAGGGGGGCAGATCACGAGGTCAAGAGATTGAGACCATCCTGGCTAACATGGTGAAACCCATCACTGCTAAAAATATAAAAATTAGCTGGGCTTGGTGGCTCGTGCCTGTAGTCCCGGTTACTCGAGAGCCTGAGTCAGGAGAATCACTTGAAGCTGGGAGGCGGAGGTTGCAGTGAGCCAAAATCACGCCACTGCACTCCAGCCTGCCAATAGAGCGAGAGTTCGTCTCAAAAAAAAAAAAAAAAAAGTGACTCCTTACTTGGTTCAGCCCTTTGTCACCAACTAACTTAACTCTCTTGTGCCCTCTACCGCTCAAGTGATCTCATTTCAATGCAGTTCAACTCGGCAAATAAACGAAAAAACATTCCCAGATTTTAATAATCTACATCACCCTGCTTTATTTGATCATCAAGCCCTGTTCTATTCTTGTCCTTGTGAGCAGCATACAGGACACAGAGGTCACAGTCTGGTGGGGATACAGACTTTTTTTTTTTTTTTGAGACAGAGTTTTGCTCTTGTTGCCCAAACTGGAGTGCAATGGAGAGATCTTGGCTCACCGCAACCTCCACCTCTCAGGTTCAAGCAATTCTCCTGCCTCAGCCTCCTGAGTAGCTGGGATTACAGGCATGCACCACTGTGCCTGGCTAATTTTGTATTTTTAATAGAGACAGGGTTTCTCCATGTTGGTTAGGCTGGTGTTGAACTCCCAACCTCAGGCAATCTGCCTGCCTCGGCCTCTCAAAATGCTGGAATTACAGGCATGAACCACCACACCCAGTGGGACACAGACTTTCATGCCATTATTGGCGTGACAAGAAACATTCCTGGAAATAATAGATGACAAATAAAGAAAAATAAATAAATAAATAAAACAAGAAACATTCCTGGAACAGTAATGACTTTGAGCCAGGCACTCTGCTAAGCACATTGCATATATGAATTTGTAGTCCTTTTGACAGCCATTGCAAAAGGATCTGCCTTTACAGAAGAGGATTCAGACTCACAAACATGATTGATTTAAGGTCACAATTTAGTAAACATGGAACATGGATTCTGAACTAAGATCTGTCCCCCATCCAAAGCCAGTTATTTCCACTACACTATATCAGAATAAACCAAGTGGTGTGGAACACTGAAATGGGAGCATCTAAATCTAATTTGAATGTATATAGTTATTATGTCTGGGAAGACTACATAGGAGAGTATTTCCAATTTGGGTTAAAAAAGGTGGTCCCTCCTCCCTAATGTTGCTGAATGTGTAAAGAAAAAAAAAAGATGGTTCAGGCATCAAGAGCAGAGGTAATCAGGGACATAAACTTGGGACCTATTCAGAGAACAGAAGGTTGGGTGGGATGTGGGGGAAGAGAGGCAGAATATAAGGCTAGAATCAGATTGCACAGGGCCTTGAAGGCCATGCTAAAGAAGGATGACCTCAAACCAAAGTTCAAGGATTCCCAACCTGGGCCATGTGTACTGAGGAGTCCCCTAAGGTGATCAAGTATGAGAAACCACAGGTAAATGTGGTATATTGCCTGGAATGTCAATTTTACTAAAAGGCTTGAGTGGGGGGAGGCAATCTTCTGTTATCCTATAAAATATGTATTATGGGGGATTGAATGTAAAATCATATGAATTTAAAAAATAAAACTAGGATTTCAGACATGTCCCTTTATTGTCTGCTCTCCAATAAATAAATTGTTGGAAATAGTCCATTCTTTGCTGCCATTAGGGATAGCTTAGTAATGGAGCCATGGAAAGCATTGTGATAGGTGATGGGAAACCATGGATTTAACTCTATTGAGGGTTCAAAAGTAGGGCTGGATGGGATTCAAAGATGAATAGGAAGTGACTGTTTTTGGAGAACTTTCCATCAGGCTTTATGAAACTGATGATTCTTAACAGGAAAACAAATAAAGTAGGTAAACTTCCTCTCCTCTTCCCCATCTCCTTGACATGTTCCTTTTCTACCTCATTCATTTTTTTTTTTTCTTGAGATGCAGTTTTGCTCTTGTTGCACGGGCTGGAATGCAATGGCACGATCTCGGTTCACTGCAACTCCACCTCTCGGGTTCAAACAATTCTCCTGCTTTAGCCTCCCAAGTAGCTAGGATTACAGATGTACGACACCACGCAGGGCTAATTTTGTATTTTTATTAGAGCTGGAGTTTCACCAGGTTGGCCAGGCTGGTCTTGAACTCCTGACCTCAGGTGACCTGCCCGCCTTGGCCTCCCAAAGTGCTGGGATTATAGACGTGAACCACCGTGCCCGGCCTCATTCATTCTTTAATTAAAAAAAATTTGTTGCATACTAACTCCCTCACTGTGTGACCTTGGACAAATTACTGAATCTCTCTGTACTTTAGTTTCCTTATCTGTAGAATGGGGATAATAATAATACCTAACTCACAGTATCACTGTGAATGCATAATGAGAATTAGAGTTAATTCACATACAGCTCTTAGAAATAGAGCCTGGAACAAAGTTCAACACTATTAGCTGCTATAACAGTGACGTTGCTACACCCTTCACTGCTACTGTGTTCCAGTCAACATCTATCCATAGCCATTTATCGCTTAGCTAATTCATGTTGGTGGCCAAGGCGGGTCTGGGAGGAATAGAAATGAATCCGATTTCCCATTGCACTTTGTCCAGCTACACTTGGCACATGTAGAAGGTCCTCAAAATGCTTGCTGAATAGATAAACGAGTGTCTTCCTATTGAACTGCAAATTCTTTCACGGCAGGGATAATATTCCTAGCTGTCATATCTCTAGAACAACGCACCTGGTGAGGCACGCAGTAGGCGCTTAGAGATTATACATGGATAGATGACTGAAGGCGAAAAATCACTAAGGCTACAAAGCGGGCATAGATAAGGCGATGCAGAGAGACCGCCCCCAGTTTCAGGAAGGGTATTAGTCTTTGAAGTGTGTCTGCCGGAGCCCTCACCTGCGCGAGGGCTTCTGGGAGGCGCAGGCTCGCCTTGCTCGCCCCTGGATCCCGGGAGAATGCCCCGGAAGGCATCAACCCTACGCCCCGCCCCCTCCGCCGGCTCACGTCACCGTCTCTGGGCCAGCGCGAACCATGGCCGGCTTGGTGGATTTCCAAAATGAGGAAGAGGTGAAGTCCTTTTTGGAGAACATGGAAGTGGAGTGCAACTACCATTGCTACCACGAGAAGGATCCGGACGGTGAGCGCTTCCAGCGCAGCCCGAGGACGCGTCAGGGAGGGGCGGGCCAGGAGAGGTTGGGTCTGCGACCTCGGAGAGGCTGGTGAAGGAATCGCGTGCTGGGCGGGAGACGGAGTCTGTGTATCGTGGTGATCGTGTGTGTTGGGAAGGGCAATGTGTCCTGCGAAGACCGAGCCTGGAGGCCGGGGCGGATAGGAAGAGACGTGCTGGGGCTTTTGGGTTAGGGACTGGGGATCCATCGGTGAACAGATAAAACTCCCTGCCCTCG